CCCAATTTGGACAAACTTGCCCTGCCAATAAGGACCAGGAAATGGGCATAGAGATCATTCGTAAAGCTATACAGACACCTTGCCTTACCATTGCCAAGAATGCTGGTGTAGATGCAGCGGTAATTGTCAACAAAGTAATGGAAGCTTCTGGCGATACTGGTTATGATGCAGCAGCTGGGACTTTTGTTAATCTCATCGAAGCAGGGATCATTGATCCTACCAAGGTAAGACAAAATATGGTGGATTGTGGTTATTTAATGTTATAACAAGTGTTCTGTATTTTCATATTAGTTTGTTTTGGGATGTGTACAGTACCTAACATGTGGATTGATTTCTTCAAATTATTTGCATATGCAAATTTTTCCTACAAATGTCTGGATTTATATTTTAACATTTGCTGTAGTGTAAATCTAGCTGTAGCTTTTTCTACAGCTATTGTCAAATAATTCATCAATACTGTACTGTGGTAGTTTTGTAAACAAACATTTGATGTCTTTTTCTGCATTACTTAAAAAAAAAAAAACCTAATGCCAAGTAAAATTGAAATGAGCAAGGAAGGATTAGAAAAGATAATTTAAATTTTTTTGGATGGATCATGTTCAGTCCAAGCCTGAACTGCAGGGGGGAAGTGAAAAGAAGAGAAGAGTCTGTTAATAATTTAAAAATCAACTTTGATAAATCACCCTAAGCAATCTAGAAATTATATGTACTTTACACTTAATAATTATAGTGAATTTACTTGCAGTTGCAATTGTTTCCCTGATAATTTAATTAAGCATTTTTGTGTATTTCACTTGTTTTTACATATGCTTCACAGGTTGTGCGATCAGCACTGACGGATGCTGCTGGTGTGGCTTCACTTCTCACCACAGCAGAAGTGGTTATAACAGAAATCCCTAAAGAGGAGCCAGCTGGTGGAATGGGAGGAATGGGTGGTATGGGCGGCATGGGTGGTATGGGAGGAATGGGTGGCATGATGTAAATTGCACTAGTGCGTACTTTATAAATACATCCCAGTGATTCATTGGATTTTGTGAGCAACAGTAACAGTATATTCATTTATTAAGTAATTGGGCTGCTGTTTAAATGTAACGGACATATGCTAGTACGTATTGAACAAGATGAACATTGTAATTGTTTTGTGCAAATTCCAAGAATTTAGCAATCATTCCAAACTTTTTTTTAATGCATTTCAATTCATATTTTCATCTTCATATCATAAGTGTGAATATGTTGCATGTAATGAGATATAACTTGATAAGTGTAAGTGTTGAATGTTTGTACAAAGTGTATATAAAAGGCCATTGTAGATAATTTTGTTATCCAGGCAAATAGATTGTCCCCAAATTAAAATAAGGTTTTTTGTATTTTTTTTTGCAATTTCTTTAACCTTTGTGAAAGCCTATTTATGAACCTCTATATTTTAGAGAAAGGTTACATAAATTAAAAAAAAAAATAGCTATTTAAAACTTGTGTGAATACCCCTGATAACAGGTTCTTTGCCTACCTTGTGAAGAGTGGGGGTGATCTGGTCTTCATTGTTAACAGCCTTACTCTTGCTGGATGGGTCTTGGCTCCTTCAGGATGACCAAGTGTTTATTGAACTTGGTTTTTTAGGAAATAACCACTGAATGTATTTTAATGTATATACTATTGCTCCCTTGACTACATAAGCTTTAACACCTTGCAGTCCTCTAATCTGCCAGTTAGGTCTCTGCCTCCCTTGCTATAAAAATTCTACATAGTAGGTTGGTAGACAGCAATCGCCTAGGGAGGTACTACTGTCCTGCCAAGTGAGTGTCAAACGGAAACCTGTAATTGTTTTACATGATGGTAGGATTGCTGGTTTATTTTCTCATAAACATGCAAGATTTAAGGTACGTCTTGCTACTTAACACTTAGGGTAATATTTATTGAAGGGATTCAGGGAAACCGGTTATTTTTATATAGCCAGACTTGTCCTGGAAATGGGAAGTACAATGCCTGCACTCTAAAGGAGAGGTTCGGGATATTAGCAGTTTGGAGGGATATGTTGTGCATCTTTATAGGTATATGCTTCTAAGCTGTTGTGTTCTGAGCACTTCTGCAAAACCTGATTGTGTGAGTGAGGTGAAAGTGTTGAATGATGAAAGTATTTTCTTTCTTGGGTCACCCTGCCTCGGTGGGAGATGGCTGACTTGTTAAAAATATATATATATATTTTTTTTTCAACAAGTCGGCCGTCTCCCACCGAGGCAGGGTGACCCAAAATGAAGGAAAATCCCCAAAAAGAAAATACTTTCATCATTCAACACATTCACATAATCACTATTTTTGCAGAGGTGCTCAGAACACAACAGTTTAGAAGCATATACATATAAAGATACACAACATACCCCTCCTTTAAAGTGCAGACATTGTACTATCCATTTCCAGAACTCAAGTCCGGCTATATAAAAATAAATGGTTTCCCTGAATCCCTTCACTAAATATTACCCTGCTCACACTCAAACAGATCGTCAGGTCCCAAATACCATTCACTCCTATCGAACACGCTCGTGCACGCCTGCTGGAAGTCCAAGCCCCTCACCCACAAAACCTTCCTTCCAGCATTTGTGAGGACGACCCCTACCCCGCCTTCCTTCCCCTACAGATTTATACGCTCTCCAAGTCATTTTGCTTTGATCCATTCTCTCTAAATGGCCAAACCACCTCAACAACCCCTCTTCAGCCTTCTTGACATACTTTTATTAACTCCACACCTTCTAATTTCCACACTCCGAATTTTCTGCATAATATTTACACCACACGTTGCCCTTAGACAGGACATCTCCAGTGCCTCCTCCCTGCTGCATTCACAACCCAAGCTTCACACCCATATAAGAGTGTTGGTACTACTATACTTTCATATATTCCCTTCTTTGCCTCCATAGATAACGTTTTTTTTGTCTCGCATATACCTCGACGCACCACTCGCCTTTTTTCCCTTGTCAATTCTACGATTAACCACCTCCTTCATAAATCCATCCGCCGACACGTCAACTCCCAAATATCTGAAAACATTCAATTCTTCCATACTCCTCAATTTGATATCCAATTTTTCTTTATCTAAATCATTTGATACCCTCATCATCTTACTCTCTTTCTATGTTCACTTTCAACTTTCTACCTTTACACACACTCCCAAACTCATCCACTAACCTTTGCAATTTTTCTTTAGAATCTCCCGTAAGCACAGAATCAGCAAAAAGTCGATTCCCATTTTGTATTTAATTCCCCATAATTTAATCCCACCCCTCTCCTGAACACCCTAGCATTTACTTCTTTTACAACCCCATCTATAAATATATTAAACAACCATGGTGACATTACACATCCCTGTCTATGACCTACTTTTACTGGGAAGTAGTCTCCCTCTCTTCTACACACCCTAACCTGAGCCTCGCTATCCTCATAAAAACTCCTTACAGCATTTAGTAACTTACCACCTATTCCATATAATTGCCACATTGCTCCTCTATCCACTCTGTCATATTCTTCTTTCAACGTACCATATCCCACTGAGGTGGGGTGGCCCAAAAGAAGAAACTCAAGTTTCTCCTTTTAAATTTAGTAATATATACAGAAGGGGTTACTAGCCCCTTGTTCCCGGCATTTTAGTCCCCTCTTACGACACGCTTGGCTTAGAGGAAGAATTCTGTTCCACTTCCCCATGGAGATAAGAGGAAATAAACGAGAATTAGAAAGAAAATAGAAAACCCAGAGGGGTGTGTGTATATACAGTGGACCCCCGGCATCCGATATTAATCCGTTCCTGAGAGCTCGTCGTATGCCGAAATTATCGGAAGGCGAATTAATTTTCCCCATAAGAAATAAAAGAAATCAAATTAATCTATGCAAGACACCCAAAAGTATGAAAAAAAAAGTCTTACCACATGAAATATTAAGTTTAACCCTCTGACTGTCGCAACCCCTAATCCTGAGGTGTTGCAAAATTTAAAAAAAAAAAAAAAAATTTCTTACGAAATGATAGAGAATCTTTTCCCGATTGTAATGACACCAAAAAAACGAAATTTGATGGAAAACTGACTGAATTATGCTCTCGTGAAGTTTGCGACCTCGGCGCTGTTTACAAATCCGTGATTTCGCCCACTTTGAGTCCTATTTTCGGCTAATTCCATTGTTTCAGTTGCCCAAACTCATAGCTATTTCTTTAGAAACTCCATTTTTTCTATCGATTGAGTACAAGAAACTGCCCATTTACAGATTTCAACTACCTAATAATGTGGTCAGAAATTTGCAATTTGGCCAATTTCACGAAAACTAAAAAATATGACAATTTCAAAATAAGGTCCAGAATGAACACTGCAGATATTCCTGGCTCTAAAATAACATTTTCTTTGCTCATCAGTCATGTCTCCAGGCCCCTCTGATATTACTCTTGCTTTCTATTTTGAATTTTTATTCAAAAAAAAAAAAAAAATAGAAGACTTACTATTATGCAGACTACTGCAATAATTGTATAAATAACATCAATCCATTCATGACTGCATATTAGAATGGCTAGTTGGACATTTATTGGACAATGGCATCATGTGTTTACTTTTGAACATTGGCAAAAATCAAACATTTCCCCTACTTTGAGCTCCATTTCTAGGTTCTTTTTATAGTAAAATCAATCAAAATCACCTCTATTTCTATAATATGTTTTCCATTCTATCAAATGAGACCAAGAAAACGAGAGTACAACCATAAATACTATACGAAAATAGACCACAAAGTCGGCATTTTAATTTAAAAAAAAATGGTCGGAGTTTTTTTTTCTCATTATGCACTGAGTGCTCCAGGATTTTTTTTATATGGTGCACACTGACCACACATCCATTCTCTCACATGTGGGCTTACCAGCTTTCTCCTGCTTGATTTGAAGCCGCTAGAATTTGAGTATATATACGTCAAACCCGGTACCTCGTAAGACGTATATATACGGCCGCGACAGTCAAAGGGTTAATGCACACAAACTGAAGAAGACTTACACGGTCAGTAGTACTCTACTAACAATAGAATACATGACACCTTTAATGAAGATCTGGTGATGATTGATGGGATGGGATGGGAGGAGGGGAGAGTGTTGAAGTTGTTTAGAAGGGGAATCCCCTTCCATTAGGACTTGAGGTAGCAAGTCCTTTTCTGGGGTTACTTCTTTTAATGCCACTAGGACCAGCTTGAGAGTCAGTGGACTTCAGTCGCACAACGTATGTCCATAGAGGCCTGTACCTCTCGTTCCTTTATGACTTTTCTAAAGTGGTTCACAACATTGTCATTGTAAGTCGCCAGCACGGCTTGCAATAGCTGTGTAAGGGTAATTTGCATCCATAAAGATTTTCACCTTTGTCCACATTGTACACATTTCTTTAATCTTTGATGTAGGCAACTTCATCAATTTCTCTATCCCCTCCGAAGCAGTTTCCTCAGGTCTGGCCTCTTGCTGTTCAAGATGATCTAGCAGCTCATCAGTGGTTAGTTCTTCATTGTCGTCCTCTACCAACTCTTCCACATCCTCCCCACTAACCTCCAACCCCAAGGACTTCCCCAATGCCACAATGGATTCCTCAATTGGCATACGATTCCCAGGGTTAGCCTCAAACCCTTCAAAATCCCTTTTGTCTACACATTCTGGCCACAGTTTCTTCCAAGCAGAGTTCAAGGTCCTCTTAGTCACTCCCTCCCAAGCCTTACCTAAAAGGTTTACCCAATTGAGGATATGAAACAGCTTTTGTGTACAGTTTCTTGAAGTTGGAAATGACCTGCTGGTCCATGGGCTGCAGGAGAGAAGTGGTATTAGGAGGCAAAACCTTGACCTTAATGAAGCTTGTGTCCCCAGAAAGTTGCATACCAGGAGGCACTTAAGGTCTAATTTCTTTTGTTAGGTAATTTTTCACATTGGGGGCAAATGTATGGTGTAACCAGTCATAGAAAAAGTCCCTAGTGACCCATGCCTTACTGTTTGCCCTCCACAGCACACACAAATTAGCCTTGAGGACATTGTTTTGTCTGAACGCTCTAGGAGTTTCCGAGCGATACACCAATAAAGGCTTCACTTTGCAATCACCACTAGCATTGGCACACATCAACAGAGTAAGCCTGTCTTTCATAGGCTTATGTCCTGGGAGTGACTTTATTTCTGAGTAATGTAGGTCCTGCTTGGCAATTTCTTCCAAAACAGGCCTGTTTTGTCGCAATTAAACACTTGTTCAGGTTTAAATTCTTCAATGTATGTAATCCCTGAATACCTTAACATGTTTTTCAGCTGCTTTTTGGTCCGAACTGGCAGCCTCACCATGCCTAATCACTATGTATGCCACTACAATTCTTAAATCTTTCAAACCAA